TTTTTGTGCCTACTACGAAGTAGTAGACACTTTGTTATCGTGTCTAATGCAAATGAGTAAGTAACAATAGAATGACGTCAAAATTCAATCAATACCCCTTCGGAAGACCCATAAACACAGGAAGCCCTCGGAAGCGATCGGCAGAACATATAACTTAGTGCGAATGACCGCCGAAAATTCAATCATCTCTGCGGTTTTACGAACAAGTTCGTGAAAATTTCTCGTGGTATTCACTGCCGTAAAAGTTTGCGAGGTACGTTTACTTTTGTGAGTATATTTTGCCTTAGTTCTTCTTTGTCAAAGCTTTCATATCCCAATATTCGGTGTAATGAAAAGTTCTATTAGTAAGTTTTAGGTCTTTCTTTCAGAAGAAATTGCTCCTAACAGTCAGATAAAGCTCAACCAAACTCTGGTTCTGAAACTCCACGCATGAACAAACAAAACAGAAACAAAACTCTAATGAATGTATTCTATTAAAGAAACAAGATCAAACAATGCCTAGTTAGAACTTCCATTGTCCAAAATGGTGACTTAAACTATTATTTAGATTTTATTTCATGGAGATATTGTTCGCACTTTATTACTTTGTATCCAATAAAAAGTGCCTTCTATTGTTATTAATAAAAATACCTAACGATATTCTGCACTTTCTTTTTGTTGTTGTTGTTGCTCATCAACAGTACAGTACCAAAATAAAGGCTGTGTGAGGCTAAATATTTGTGTTCCATAGACTTAAAGCACCATATTTACAATCTGCATACAGTCGTAGTAGGCACATGCGCTGATTCAGCGCCTTTAATTCATTTCGTCTTTGTGGTGTTTATTTTTGCAGCATTACTTAACAAAACAGTCTTTCATTTCGTGTTGTTTGTGGTGTTCATTTTGGTCGCTTTACTTGATAAAGGCTAAACAACTTTAAGGTTCTGAATTGAGATCTCAAGGAGTCGTTGAAAAGACTGATAATAATGATCGATTATAACTAGTTAAAAGTTGCTTTGATACCTGATATGACTATTACGCATGCATGTAGATACCTTTATCGTGACGTGTCCGGCTTTTGTCCAGTAATCGTCCAGTAAGGACAGAAAGGTCAGAGAGGTTATATCTCGTAATAAAATGCACAGGCAGTCTAATAATTAATAGGTAAACTTAGGACGCAGAAATCACGTATCCCGCAGCAAATTATTAGAGTTATCCCGATCCCGTCGCGAAAAAAACGTAAAATCCCGATCCCGCTTGCATTTTAAGATCCCGCATCCCGTTAAAATTTTTGTCCAGATCCCGAATCCCGCCATCAAAAAACGGCTTATCCCGCATCCCGCAAAACCTATTGTGGACCCTCTATAATGGACTGTGCAGATGCTGAGAAAATAATGATTACTTTGATTGATTTGCATAATATTTCAGAGGAAAGAGTTTACCCGCTTTGTAAAAGTTCATCCTTTTGCTGTATACTTTGACTATCATATGGAACCAGTTTATTATATGAAGGTAAGTAAAAAATTATAGGGCATATCAGCATTTTATATTATGACTAACATATTTTTCATTTTTCTAAAAGGTGTTTGGATGTATCCAGGTTCTTAGCAGTCTTTTCTTGCTGTTAGGTCCCAGGCCTCTCAAAGTGTTAAGTTCCCTTGCTTGTATGGTGCTCGTGTTTTTTGAAGTTTTCTCGATGTACATGCTCRACGAGWCRTGGCTTATGTTGTCCCTTCCAATTGCATCATTTGTTCTTCTCTTTGTCAACCTTTTGCTGATTCAAGAAGAAGAAAGGCCAAAAGTGGATTAAGTGGTGTTTTTTATGGGTATAATTTTTTTACAAGTATTAAACAAATAACCACAGCCTCTATCACTATATTGGTTCAAATGGATAATAGAGCGCATTGCAATGCGAAGGGGGAGGGGAGGGTTGTGTAAAAAAAACACCACAACATGCAATCCAACCCAGGTCTGACTTATACGTACACCACCTATTCAATGCACACAAGTCATTTACCTTTGTAAAAGTTACTGTAAAAAATGCACTTTTAAAAATCTATGTTTATAGCTGGTATTTGAAAAGTTGGCTAATATTTAGCTCTCTTCATTTGATTGTGCTAGTATAAATGTATATATTTTGATAATCACTGAAATAGAATTGTCAATAAATACA